AAACCCGTTAGGGCATAGTATGAGGTTAGATCATGTATATCAAGATTGTCCGGTGATTGTTGAAGGACAACGATTCTCTGCCAACCTTGTTGAATTACCGTATAAGGAATTTGACATCATTCTCGGAATGGATTGGCTCACTGAGCACCAAGCAGTTATCGATTGCCGACAACGAACGATTCAACTAGAATCTAGAGAGGGAAAATCCATAAAGGCGAAAGAGGAGCTAACACCTAGATCTACTGAATTCATCTCATACATACACGCCAGACGTCTCATTCGAAAGAGATGTGAAGCTTATCTGTGTAACGTACGTGACACACAAAAGGAAACTCCTGAGTTGAAAGACATACCGACAGTATGTCATCTTTCGACATTGTCCAACGACCTTCATGGTTGGACTTCTCAGTTCTGCGTTCCATGCAGACGAGGGCCTCCTCATCCGAGCTTGAACTGGATGACTCGTCACTCTCAGCTGCTACCATTGCCTTTTTCTTCTTCTCGTTCCTTTCTCCTTCTCCGTACTTCTCTACTTTTGGATACGGACAAGCTGACTTCTAGTGGCCAGGCTTCCTGCAGTTATAGCACAGATAAGATTCGGGGGGAGAGTTACTTACCTGTAGCTCTCCCTTGGATGGCCTTCTAATGGAGCAAGTTTTCTTGAAGAACTTTTTGAGCTTCCGGAATTGCTTGACCATCATAGCGAATTCCTCTTCGTAGTTCTCTGCCTTCGAGCTTGTTGGCTGGCTGGTGGAAGGAGTGTCACATCTCCTTGGGCATATCCCTTTGCTTGCTGAGACTTTGGGGTTCGTCATCAGTGCCGTGGGATAGGTGGTGACTTGTTCTTCCTTTTTCTTCTTCTCCAACTCATGATCATAGGTTCTGAGCTCATCTAGAAGACCTTGAACAGTGTAGTTCTCCAGATTTCTTCCTTCTTCCATGGTTGTGGCTTTGGTGTACCACTCAGCCGGAAGAGACCTCAGTATCCTTACATTCTTTTCTTTTGGAAAAAGAACGTGGTTAAGTGATGCAAGATGTAACACCCCAATCCATCTAGGTCTGCAGCCCCTTTCGGACTAAAGTATTAACTTGGTAATCGTATAAAATTTAACACTTTTCAAACACCTTTATTTATCGCAATAATATTTTTCATACATATACAGTACGGAGTATTCAACAATATTGCGGAAGCGAATTTAATATTGACATATCATAAATCATTTCAAACTTGTCACATCCATCCCGACAATCTCGCCCCATCTACCGCCAGGATCACACTGTTCTTTCTGTTTACCTGCGTGTAGCAAATGAAACACACTACATGCTCAGCGGTAAAGTTGAGTAAGCATATCTAATGCGTTGAACATCCATATAAACTGAATCTAAATTCATAATCAAATCATTTGATATCATGCACACAATGTTCATTTCAGTCATTCATAGTTTTGATAATGTTTAGTTCATATCAACACAATTTATTCAATTCAGATATTATTCCAACAGTGCCCTTAAATTATTCTTAATCTAAGGCCAGATCATAACAACGCTCTTAGCTATTCTTAGTCTAAGGCTAGATCATAATAATGCTCTTAGCTATTCTTAGTCTAAAGCCAGATCATAATTTCTATAACCATATTCTTAAAAAGGCAATCATTAATCAGACACTTAAACTATCATTAGTTTAAGACAATTGATTTCAGACACTTAACTGTAGTCAGTTAAGGCAATCAGACACTTAAACTATCACTAGTTTAAGGCAAATGATTCGGACACTTAACCGTAATCGGTTAAGGCAACAACAACATAGCGATTGATCAACATTGGATCGGACATTCCCAAACGAGTAATCCTCTAGTTTGGTCTACGAATCCCGTTTATACATTTTTATCGAATTCATTAACTATTTATGTTTTCATAAGTTCATCCTAAGATCTATTCTAGAGGTCTTCTAGATATTCTTAACATCAATTAGCTAATAGGTATCTTAAAGTCTTCTAGATATCCTTAACAATACACATCATTTTCTTGTTGATCAATTTATTCATTTTGAATTATGGTTCAATAATTCATAATCATAATTTAGTTCAAGATAGTCAAACAAACATATCTATTCATAATTTTATCTTTACGATTCTTTCATTCAATTCCATACATTTTTATTGGTCATAATAAAATCATGATCGTTATGTAGTCATAATTACTCGGGTCGTCCATTTGATCATCATAATCAATATTTATTATCAATGATATTCCATTATCCATTATAATAACCATTTATTCAGGATATTATCAAGGTTTCATTGTAATAGTCATAATAACATTTATTAACAAATAGCGGCCTAGTTTCGAGTGTTAACACCCGTACTTACCGTCATGTATCATATAATGTTCTATATGTCAAAAACATCATTTTTATTTTACAAAATCATATTTATATTGTTCATAATTAATTGGTATCAAAAATAGTGTTTTGGATCACAAAAATAGCATTTTCGGACAAATTTTTGGATCAAAATTTCGGGGGATTGCAGTGTGATCGATCAAGGCAGTGTGATCGATCAGGGCAGTGTGATCGATCCAAGCAGTGTAGTTTCAGGTTACTGTTCATCGTCTTCTACCTTCGGTCCATTTTCGGAAATATCATTTTTAGTTACCAAACTTCAATTAAACTATATAGAAATGTTCTCCAAGGTTCATAGACCATTTTGGTATCATTAATTCGTGATTTTAACATCAAATTCAAGGTTTGTGATTCTTGGTTCTTCAAGCTTGTCAAACACAAAACTCAACCAAATTACCATTTATGAACGTAAAAACGATCTATACGAACATTCTAGTCATTAGATATATCTACGGGCTTACTTCGAATTGAAATGATGATTCCAGCGGAAAAACGGCGAAACTTCCGGCGAACACCACGGCTTGCTCCAGCGACGGGAAGCTCTCCGGACAGTTTCTCTCAACTCTACAAACTCTCCTCTATCTATTGGGATGATTTTGGTGTGGAAATGATGAAGAATGAATACCTCTATATATAAGCCTGGGAGGGAGTTGCGTAGCTCTGGTCTCCGTCGATTAAGGTGAGTGGAGGGGGCGGCTGATTTAATTCCTTCCAGTTTAGTTTGATTAAATTACCTCAATTGGGGTACACTTTTTGGTCCAACATTATCCAAATTGAAATCCGTTTACACCGTTACGATCAGACAGTCAAACTCTATTTAGTGATATAATTTTTTTATTTACATTCTAAACAAATTCTTTACATTCTAAACAAATTCTAAACAATTTCAATATTTACATTCTAAACAAATTCTTTATTTACTCTTGATTTGGGTCTGTACTGAGGTTCCCAATCAAGATCACACAATTAGTCAACATATTGGATTTATCTCTATGAGACTTATCCAGATTTTGATATTGGATGTCAAAACACATTTTGTATCGGCCCAAAGCCGAACAATAATTTATTTTAATCAAAACAAATTTGATTAATTGATTATTTATTCATTAATAATTCTAGGGTATGTTTTGGGGCGTTACATTTCTCCCCCCCCCCCCTAAAAGGAATTTCGTCCTCAAAATTTTTCATAGGTTCAACGTTCAATGTTTCGTAATAATCTCACTGATCATGTCCATTTCATATTCACATGGTTATGTCGCTATCTTTCGGATACGTATTCTCAAGTCATTGATGTCCCTAAACTCGTTCAATCTTCGATAGATTAACAATTTTCGATTAACCAAGGTCTTCACTGATCCTTTGGTATTGATGACAAAAGTTCCTTCATAGTGTGTAGTATTGCATACTTGACATACATAACTTCGTTAAGTTACAAGTCTTATCTGTACGTCCTTCGTTAACAGAATCGATTGAAAACTTCTTCAATACTCTTAAAAGATCTATGATAAGCACAGTTAGAGGTTGTTTCAATTCATACGTCGTAACATAATCAATTACTCAAGGGGTCGTTGTCTTTAGGGCAATAGCCATTTTGACTTTTCATCTTGGATTTGAACGTATTTCAGGACAACGAATCTAACTGTTCATGAGTTTTGATATGTCATATCGTCAGCAGACTGTAGTATTAGCGAGTACGTCATTGTCAGTAGGAAATTCGAATCCATCTTTGCTGAACAAATTTCGACCGAGGATAACTACCCCTTCTTAAAGGTCAGGTTTTCAGAGCCTATAGGGGTGGGTTCGGTTTTGGCGGTTCGGTTTTTACCCAAAACCAAAGACAAAACGGAAGATAAGTTGGCGGTTCGGTTCGGTTCGGTTTTGCATAAAAAATATGTAAACCGTTGGTTATTTGGTTCGGTTTTTGGCGGTTTTTATCTTGGTTTTTTTCGGTTTTTCCGGTTTATAAAAGTAAATATTTATAAGCATTAAAAATTGTATAAATACTAACTCGACGAAGCAATAACAATACGTAAGTTTGGGTTTGGTTTTTTTGCTTGATTTTTACACACAAAAAAGCCGAACGGAAGGTTAGTGTTCTCATTGGTTCAATTTTATATACAAAATATTAATGTTTATATTCTTAGATTTTTTTAAAGTTTATAATATGGTTAAAATTTTTATATTCTTAAATTTTTTAAAGTTTATAATATGGTTAAAATGTTTAATTAATAGTTAAGAAAAAACTTTAATTGACTAGTAATTTATTTGCATTTTTGTTTATATTATTTTTATACATATCACATATACTCATATAAATAAAATGAAGCATATAAATAAGTTCGGTTTATTCGGTTCGTTTCGGTTTTTCAAAGTAAAAACCAAAACGGAACCAAATAATAACGGTTCGGTTTGGTTTTTTTACATTCGGTTTCGGTTTTTTCGGTTCGGTTTTTTTTCTAGCTCGTTTCGATCGATTTCGGTTCGGTTTTCGGTTTTCCCGACCCAGCCCTAAGAGCCTATATATATCACAATTGTGGCAAGAGTATCTCACATTCTCATATTATGGAAGGGACTTCTCGAACTTTTCCTTACATCATAAAATTCGTTGGTCTACTTGGTAGTCACGCTCTTGGTAGAAATCCAAAGTTCATGGCTACGGCGGTGGATTTAGGTAGAGAATTGGTAAGGCGAAAAAATAGGCTTACCTATGGAGGAGGCAACGTTGGCCTTCAAGGAGCTGTTGCTTCAACAGTCTATACCAATGGTGGTATAGTTAGAGGCTTCGTACCAGGGTACATAGCAGCACGACAGGTCTACGGACGTACATATGGTGCAGAGTACACCGTTTCGAGCCATTACTATATGTACTTCGAAATGAATCATGTTGTAGAAGCTTTCATCATACTTCCCGGGGGAATTGATACTATGGAAGGTTTGTTCACTTTGATCTCATGGGCATTTGAAGGGTTGCACAGTAAACCCATTGGTCTCTTGAATATTGATAGTTATTTTAATAACCTAATCAAATTTCTAAATGATGCGGTGAGGCAGAACTTCATGGCTTCCAGTCAGAGAAAACTTTTCATCTCTTCTTTCTTTATTGATGAGCTTTTAGACAAGCTAGCGTTTGCTAAAGCTTTTCGAGGTCCTGGGGCTAGTTATGACGAGTTTGTAAATCCTGGGGCATTGGACTTAGAGTTGCATTTGTAATATTACTTTATATAATTTCAGTTGAATTTATGTTGGAATAATATTGTCCATGAACATTATGAGTTAACCATTAATATTATTCTAAGCTGCATGGCCAGTGCAAGTTAGAAAAATATCTATTTTCAACATCAGAATGCATCATGTAAAGACCAAACATTTTCTCAAGATAGGTCAAAAGAAATATTTGATTATACAAAGTGTTCAATACACGAAGTTTCAAGCAAATACGAATATTATTCGAAAGAGAATATTTTTTTTTACAGAAAGTTCGTCATTCTTCAATATATTCTCGAGCCCTTGTAGCACTTTAGGATCTTCACAGAGTATCATCCTTGGGTTGGTTTCTTTGAATTGTTTCGGGTTTTAGAACGTTGACTTGTTCCTGAGCAAACAGGTTGATTTTGGACAGAAGTAACTGAATATGATTCAGGGTTAGAGGGACATTCTCGTCGAAAATGTCCAGGTTTACCACAAATTAGACATAATCCTTGTGCAAGCCAGCAACCTCCCGGATGGTGTCTTTTACAAACATTACACTTTGGATGTTTCCATACCCTCATTTTGTTCATGGATGACGTCGATTGAATTGACTTTCCCTTTTTCGAGTGTATGGCACTATCGATTTCTTGCAGGGGTCTCTTCCCACTTGAATTTGATCGTTCTTTTGGATTGACATTCTTATTCTTCGGACTTTCATAGTAATCACTTAGATCTTTTTCGGCTTTGGAGATTAGATCGTACGCCTCAATGAAATCCATAGTTTGAATAGTAGATACGTACGGCCTGAGGTCAGGTCGAAGCCTTTTGCGAAACTCCTCAATTCGGTCAATCGCTGTGCTCACCAGGGTGGGTGCAAATTGAGCGAGGTGGACAATTTTTTGTCGGTATTCAGGGAGTGTCATTTCTCCTCGCTTCAATTGAATAAATTCGGCACACTTCTCTTCACGGAATCGGGCTAAAATATATTCCTTCTTGAACGCCCAATCGAAGAATTCCCAAGTCCACGGTTTGGGTGTGTTTTGATTTTCGCCAGTGCGTTTCCACCATTCGTAGGCTTCCTTGCGGAGCAATTGAGATGCAAGTTTTGGATGGTCAACAAGAGGTATGTTCAGATTTTGTAGTACACGAGCGGTCTGCTCGATCCATTCAAGAGCAATTTGGGGTTTGGCAATTCGATCTCCCAGAAACTCCTCAGCACCATTGTCTTTCAAGGTTTTGAAAGTGATCAAACGAGGTGGTGGTGGAGGTGGTTGAAACATAGGGGCATGAGTCATTTGTTGCAAGAAGTTTACCATTAAGGTAGGTAGCATAGCATCAGGTTGACCTCCGACATTTTGATCATTTTGGGGAATATGTTGTGAGTTCACTTGTTCAGTTTGAATAGGAGGTGTGAAACTGGATGCTTCAGTATGAACATTTTCGTGCCCATCGCTTGGCACCTGGTTACTTTGATTGTGAACAGTTTCTTGACTCATTGTACAATAATAGAAAGTCCTTCATTAGAATTCTCTACTTGAATAGGCGAGTTGACAACGGATATTTATTCAGACTATATCGATGTTTAAGTCACTAATCGTGTCATAACAATGCGTCACTTCATTCAACCAGATTTAGCTATCCATAACTTCTAACAAGTAGGTTCTTTGAATTTGACAGAATAAATCGTGAATTCATAGTAAAGGGTAGCGATTCTTGATCGTCAGTTTGTCTATTTTAATAGAGATGTGATAGTATCTTTGACCGTAAGTCAATCTTAGAGAGCACAATGGATTATCTAAGCTGATCAAATAAGTCATAGATACGAGATAAGGATAACGTCAATTTCCTTGTATGATATTTCAACAAAGTTTCGCAAGGAATTTGTTGTTGAACGATTTCGATTTGTATGATATAATCGCATATTTGCGTCGGAAGGGTTAGGCATCAGAATGGGCTAGACAGTAGAGTTTATTGATTTTAAACGTTCGTGTTTGAATCAACGATCCGATCGTCTTTAGTCCACATGAGGATCTTTGACAGCAACTTCACAGATGTTATTCAACATTAATCGTTTCTCCATAGTCGTCTCACTTCTATGCGACTTTGTGAGGAAGATCAGTTTCGTCATTCGCGATGCAATAAGTACTCTGATAACCTATCAAGGAGTCATTATTTTTTTCGTCTTTTCACCGAGTACGAAAAATCTACTTGAGTCTATGCTCGATATATATTTAGTACTAACAATTGTTCTCTAATGAGAATTCTAACAGAGTCAATATGTACCAAGTAAATTCTCATACCTTTCCTGGAGCAGAGGGATGCGAGAGTCGTGGATGTGACTGCCACATTTATTTTTAATTCAAATTTTTGATCCGAAAATCGGTTTTAAAACCATTTGCTCCGATACCAAACTGTAACACTATTGAGGACTTGTCGTAAGGTCCAAAACAAATTAAAAATTTATAAAATATCCTTAACTAACCCCCAATATATAATCAAATAAAAACTATAGCTAGGGCAAGTAAGAGTCGATCCCACGGAGAAAATTTGTACTTTTGAAATCAAAATAGTATGCAAACACATTGTCACAAAAAAACTACTACACATATAATAAGACGTATAAAACTTATAATAAAACTTATAACTAAATAAATATAAAAACTTATAAATTTAACTTATAAACGAAGAACTATAATATAACTATAAACATAAAACACATACTAAAAATATAGTATAAAGAACTTATATTTATAACTTATAAACAAGTACTTATAATATACACTTATTAAATAAAACTTATACTTATATAACACAAGGGGGGGGGGGTTGAATTAAAAGTAAATATTTTTGGTTTTCATGTATTTTCTAATTTTTTTGGTTTTTTTTTGATAAAATGGAGGAAAACAAGCTCTAAAGATAATCAACTCCTCCAAAAAAAGTAACCCAAGAAACACCACCAAGAATCCGAAACAAAATGAAAAAGAGAACAAACACAAATTGAACATTACACGTATAATAGGCACTTAGACAATATATTACGTAACTTACGCACTTAAGAATAGAAAAATCAATCAAAGGCCGAGTCGATTCATTTCCTTAACCACGATATGGAGGATTGTCAACTCTCCACACGGCCTGGAGTCATGCAATTTAAAGGCCCGTTTTGAAATATACCTTAGAACCCCAACTCTCTATTCAAGCATGAGAACATACTTCCACTATAGAAAAAATTTATAAAAGACAGAATCTATTATGCATTCATTTCTCATACATAATCTATTTACAAACCGCCAATACCTTATGCATTTTAACAAACTTTTTCTCCTAATGATGAGCACGTTTCACAGATTTCCATGAACTTCTCAAACGAATGACGTTTTTTTCTATTCACATAGAAGAACACAACGTATTTTCAATAAATCAAGAATTGTTTATTGCACTTAAACAATCTCAATTTAAAGAAAATGGAAAACAAACACATAACAAAATCACTCTATAACAAATTCTAAGGAAAATGAATCAACTTATGGGGCTAAGAAGTCCAAAATCCTTAAAATCAACGAACACAAGCACAACAAAGAAACACGTATGAATTCGGAGTTCATTTAACTATCTTATGGAGCTAAAATAGCTTCAACAAAAACCGAATTCTACATAACAACATGCTTATGAATTTGAAACAATTCAACCAATTTAACAGCTTGTGCAATAATTGAAGTAAATAAGAATGAATCAATTCTCATCAATTCTCATCTTATGTGGGTTGCCTCCCATAAGCCGCCCGATTTAAAGTGTTTGTCTAGACATAGCTTACTACTTGCCAATAAATATTCAAATAAACCATAAAGTAGTAAAGTAAATGTGTTTCTTTGAAACAAATAAAGAGTAAAAATCCATATATGCTCTCAAATTTCAGCTTTGGTTGGCAGTTTCTACACCAAGATTATCACTAGATGGTCATTTACGAACCAAAAATCAGATTCAAGTATGCAACATATGAAGCTAAAGCAAATTTGAAAAAAACAGATTTTCTTGATCCTTTAGCCCTTCTAGTACAAAATTCAGCATGTATGGATCACAATATGCGCCTTCGAATCAGTTCCTATGCAGGTTTTAACAATTAGGATTAATGTTTAGGCCATAAGCATTTAAGGAACTCAAAAATCAGCTTAAACATCAAGAAAAGATTGATGATTTCTTCTTTAAAAAAAATGACACTTTGGATCAGATTTTTTCTAAAATTAGCACTTAAAGCTTCAAAATCAGTATGAAAACATTAAGATATGCTTCAAAATATTGCCCCCAAGCAAGATATATCAATTATAGTTCATATTTGAAGCAAAGGAGCACTCCAAGGAACAAAAATCAGCATATAAGCTAATTAAAAAGTGCAGATTTTTTTTAAAAATTCAGCAAGCATAGCTTATGAAATTCAGCAAGAACACCATTCAAATGATTCAATGCTTATAAAAATGAGTATACACGTGTTGCATACATCAAAAGTGAAACAACTCAACACTTATGTCATTCAAATGCAACAAGTATGATCAATAAAAAGAAAAATCAGCAAGTAAAAGTAATGAATATTAGTTTCAAAATGCAATTTTTATGAAAAATTGGCCAAAAGTCTCACAAAAATAGCAAATTGAGCACAATTTCAGCAATCCAGTCAATAAAAAAAACTGCTTTAAGTTTGCTATTGCTATTGCATTCGTAACCTCAAAAGCTGCTTTCAAATAGTGTAGGTTTTTCAAATAGGCATTGACAAATAAGAGCTGTTGAGAAAACATCACCTAGATTATCCAAAATAAGCATATGTGCTCTTTAAAAGTCAAAAATCAGCAAATAAGCATGCTAAAAGCAGTACTCGACGTGCAATTTTTTTTTTGAATATTACCAAATTCTTCACAAAATAGCATAACGGGCACAATTTTTAGCACGAACGCAAAGAACATTACTGATTTCATATTTCTCAACTTTTTAGATTGAAAACTTTTTGAGCACATGATTTGCGTTGCCTTTATCAACATGGTTCCACACAAACAAGAACAAAGAACACAAAGACATACTAAACTGATTTCGTACAAAACTTTCCCCGGCAACGGCGGCAAAATTTGTTGAGGACTTGTCGTAAGGTCCAAAACAAATTAAAAATTTATAAAATATCCTTAACTAACCCCCAATATATAATCAAATAAAAACTATAGCTAGGGCAGGTAAGGGTCGATCCCACGGAGAAAATTTGTACTTTTGAAATCAAAATAGCATGCAAACACATTGTCACAAAAAAACTACTACACATATAATAAGACGTATAAAACTTATAATAAAACTTATAACTAAATAAATATAAAAACTTATAAGTTTAACTTATAAACGAAGAACTATAATATAACTATAAACATAAAACACATACTAAAAATATAGTATAAAGAACTTATATTTATAACTTATAAACAAGTACTTATAATATACACTTATTAAATAAAACTTATACTTATATAACACAAAGGGGGGGTTGAATTAAAAGTAAATATTTTTGGTTTTTATGTATTTTCTTATTTTTTTGGTTTTTTTTGATAAAATGGGGGAAAACAAGCTCTAAAGATAATCAACTCCTCCAACAAAAGTAACCCAAGAAACACCACCAAGAATCCGAAACAAAATGAAAAAGAGAACAAACACAAATTGAACATTACACGTATAATAGGCACTTAGACAATATATTACGTAACTTACGCACTTAAGAATAGAAAAATCAATCAAAGGCCGAGTCGATTCATTTCCTTAACCACGATATGGAGGATTGTCAACTCTCCACACGGCCCGGAGTCATGCAATTTAAAGGCCCGTTTTGAAATATACCTTAGAACCCCAACTCTCTATTCAAGCATGAGAACATACTTCCACTATAGAAAAAATTTATAAAAGAGAGAATCTATTATGCATTCAACTCTCATACATAATCTATTCACAAACCGCCAATACCTTATGCATTTTAACAAACTTTTTCTCCTAATGATGAGCACGTTTCACAGATTTCCATGAACTTCTCAAACCAATGACGTTTTTTTCTATTCACATAGAAGAACACAACGTATTTTCAATAAATCAAGAATTGTTTATTGCACTTAAACAATCTCAATTTAAAGAAAATGGAAAACAAACACATAACAAAATCACTCTATAACAAATTCTAAGGAAAATGAATCAACTTATGGGCTAAGAAGTCCAAAATCCTTAAAATCAACGAACACAAGCACAACAAAGAAACACGTATGAATTCGGAGTTCATTTAACTATCTTATGGAGCTAAAATATCTTCAACAAAAACCGAATTCTACATAACAACATACTTATGAATTTGAAACAATTCAACCAATTTAACAACAACTTGTGCAATAATTGAAGTAAATAAGAATGAATCAATTCTCATTCATAAGGGAATATATATAAACATTAAAGAAAATACCCATAAAAGAACACCAACCATTTTTTTAGAATTTTATGAAATTAACATAAACAAGGTAAAAAAAGTGTAAAAATTAAACTAAAAACAACACTTTACAAAGAATTGGAGAACAAAATTGGAGAAACAAGCTAGGGTTACCACTTTGTTGAAGATGAAGAAATTAAGGGACTGGAGCTTGAAGAAAAGTTGCTGCCCACCATCGTCGTCCGCCGGCGAGCAGTGGTCCGCCGCAGTCTGCTTCCTACTCTGGTACGCGGCTTCAATTTCAGTTGTCTCGGCCTAGAGCCGCGGCTCTCTTGGTGATATTTCCCCCCCTCGTTCAGCTGCGATTGTTCTTCAATTTATAGCCGGAGGATTGCTCAGTTGATTTCTTCCCGTTGGCAATTGAATAACGAAATTGATGGAGAGACGTTACTTCCGATTTGAATCAGTTTGAATGCTTCGCCGCTGATTTTTTTCTTCTTCTTTCTCGCTTGCGCTGGATGAAGTCGCACATACCACTTTTTTTTCTTTGCCGTTGAAATGAGAATGAGTGAGATGGGCTTATCCTCATTTTATTTATTTATAATATGTTTGGGCTCCGGCCTAATTTCAATCTATTCTTTCCAACTTGAACTTCAATCTGGCCCGTTTGCTGCACTTTTTTCTTCACAGAATAAGGTATCTGGTAACTTGGGTTAGGAAAAAAAATAAAAATATTAAAATAATAACATGTAAAAAAATGATTAAAAACAACTATTTTTGAATGGAAATAAAAGGTTTGTAAAAATAGGAATTAAAATAAAACTAAGCTAAACAAATGAAAATTAAACAATAAAAATACTAAAAATGCCAAAAAGAGAATTAAAAATATGAACCCAAACCCGAGTTATCAAACACCCTAATCCATCCAAGTCTACAGCCCATTCGGACTAAAGTATTTAACTGGGTAATCGTAAAAATTTAAACTTTTCAAACACACTTTATTAATCCCAATAATATTTTTCATAACATATACAGTATGGAGTATTCAACAATATTGTGGAAGCGATTTTAATATTGACATATCATAAATTGTTTCAAAACTTGTCACATCCATCCCGACAATCTCGCCCCATCTGCCGCCAGGATCACATTGTGCTTTCTGCTTACCTGCGTGTAGCAAATAAAACACACTACACGCTCAGCGGTAAAGCTGAGTAAGCATATCTAATGCGTCGAACATCCATATAAACTGAATCTAAATTCATAATCAAATCATTTGATATCATGCACACAATGTTCATTTCAGACATTCACAGTTTTGGTATTGTTCAGTTCATATCAATACATTTTATTCAATTCAGATACTATTTCAATAGTGCTCTTAAATTATTCTTAATCTAAGGCCAGATTATAACAATGCTCTTAGTTATTCTTAGTCTAAGGCCAGATTATAATAATGCTCTTAGCTATTCTTACTCTAAGGCCAAATCATAATTTCCATAACCAGATTCTTTTAAGGCAATTATTAATCAGACACTTAAACTGTCATTAGTTTAAGACAATTGATTTCGGAAACTTAACTCTAGTAAGTTAAGGAAATCAGACACTTAAACTATCACTAGTTTAAGGCAATGATTCGGACACTTAACTGTAGTCAGTTAAGGCAACAACAATATACTCCCTCCGTCCCCCTAAGATGTTCTCATTTTGACTTTTGGTGGTTTTTAAGGAGAGTTGAAAAAAGATGAAAGTTTACCATAATACCCTTAATGAAAAATGGGTGGAGTGTATTAAATGAGGTGGGTGGGGTGTAATAAATAAAGTAAGTGAGGGTAGTTGTGGTATTTTAATTGTTAAAAAATGAAATGAGAAGATCTATTGTGGACAAAGAAAAAGGGCTATTGAGAAGATCTATGAGGGACGGAGGGAGTAGCAAATGATCAACATTGGATCGGGCATTCCCAAACGAGTGATCTCTAGTTTGGACTACGAATCCCGTTTATGCATTTTTATCTAATCCATCAACTATTCATGTTTTCATAAGTTCATTCTAAGATCTATTCTAGAGGTTTTCTAGATAGTTTTAACATCAATTAGCTAATAGGTATATCTTAAAGTCTTCTAGATATCCTCAACAATACAAATCGTTTAATAATTATCAATTTATTCATTATACTCATGGCTCAATCATCAATAATCATTTTGATTAGTTAGTTCATCATTCATGATCATCCATAATAATCATTCATCATAATCATTAATCAACATAACAATTGATAACAAATAGTGGTCTAGTTTTGAGTGTTAACACTCTAACTTACCGTCATGCATCACATCATGTTTTATATGCCTAAAACATCATTTTTATTATACAAAATCATATTTGTATTGTTCATAATTAATTGTTATCAAAAATAGGATTTTAGAGCATATTTTCAGGAACATTTTCGTAGCAGGATCTGGAATTGAGGAAAATAATTTAAAATAATCATTTAATTTATAAAAATTGATTTATATAATTTTAAATAATCCATTAATTCATAATAATCGATTTTTACAATTTAAATAATCAAATAATTCATTATAATCGATTTTTACAATTTAAATAATCAATTAATTCATTATAATCAATTTTTCCAATATAAATAATCGATTAATTCATAAAAAATCGATTTTTACAATTTAAATAACCATTAATTCATAATAATCGATTTTGACAATTTAAATAATCAATTAATTCATAATAATCGATTTTTACAATATAAATAATCGATTAAATGGTACTGACTTCGAACCACTGATCTGAATAAAATTCTAATCGATTTTTAGTAAGTAAATAATCGATTTTCGGCCACTGTTCATCATCTTCTTCCTCGGGTCAGTTTTAACATTATCATTTTTTAATCACCAAACTTCATTTTAATTATATAAAAAGGTTCTCGAATGTTCACAGATCATTTTAGAGTCATTAATTCATAATGTTAACAACAATTTCATTGTTTATGATTCTTGGTTCTTCAAACATGTGAAACACAAAACTCAACCAAACGACTGTTTATGAACGTAGAAACGATCTATACGAACATTCTAGTCGCTAGATATATCTACGGGCTTACCTCGAAGCTTATCGAAGGTTTTGAGAATTTTCCGGCGAAACTTCCGGCGACGATTACTCTCAGCTCCGGCGACCTCTCACCAAATTGACAACAACAATGAACTCTCCACTAAACAAGGAACACAATGATACTAAACTTACTAAGTTTTGGTGCAGAAATGGAAGCTGGTTTTTCCTCCTTATATAGGAAAATGGAGAAGGAAAAAGACAATCCTGTAGCTAGTTCTGCGTAGGAAATGACTCATGATCGGCTGAGTGGAGGAGGGGGCGCCGTCTGCACAGTCTCCCTGATTGGGACCAATTTTGGTTCTAGTCGGGGTACACTTTTTGGTCCAACTTTCTCCAAATTGAAATCCGTTTGCACTGTTGCAATCGTGCAGTTAAACTCTATCCAACAATATAATTTTCATAATTATTTGTAATACTTTTTCTGACATCATATTTTTTTTAGTGTTTGACTTTGACAGAATCAAAAGAAGAAGAGGACACTTCCCCAAGTAGATGCTGCGTAGGAAATTTTCTAGTGCGCTGGGAGGCGCCGTCTCCACAGTGTCCCTGATTGGGACCAATTTTGGTTCCAGTTGGGTTACACTTTTTGGTCCAACTTTCTCCGAATTGAAATCCGTTTGCACCGTTGTGACTAGACAGTCAAGCTCTATTCAACGACATAGGTTTTGTATTTATTCGTTATACTTTTTCCGATATCATATTTTTGGGTATTTGACTTTGACAGAGTCAAAATTGATTTGGTTGACCTTTACTATAAAAGGTGTCATATTCAATTCATATTATTTATTCTCATGATTTATTTCAATAAACCATTTCAAAGTAAACAATTTCTTCATTTATTCTTAATTTGGGTCTGTACTCAGGTTCCCAACCAAGATTACCCAATTAGTCAACATATTGGATTTATCTTTATGAGACTTATCCTGATTTGTGATATTGGATGTCAAAACACATTTCATTTC